TTTATTTTTTTTTTTTTTTTTGATGATACAGTGTTGATTCTATGACCAGTGTTATTTTAATACTATTTAAATACCATTATTAAGTTTTAATAATTTTGTTTTGTGCTTTTGTCATTTTTATTAATTTAGGGTTTTTATATATTTCGATTTCGATTTAATTTATTTTTTAATTCAGTTCATTTCAGATTTTGTCAACTTGTTTTATTTCAGTCAGTTTCCAAGGCATGGACATTTCTAATATTTGTTAAAGTTTGTTTTAAGTTTTTCTTTTAATATTTTGGCTTTGTTTTTGATAAATGAAATAAAGATATTAATATTTTCTAATAGTTTTAGAATAAAAATAACAACATTGATCCTGACCTCATGGCATGAAACAATTTTGCAAAAAAAAAACAAGCATTGTGTGTGTGTGTGTGTGTGTGTTTAATATTTCTATTTACCTTTCATTTATTTTTAACTCAATTTTAGACATTTTAGTACATACAATTTTAAAGTTTTTATTAAAATTTAAATTCTTTACATGTTTTATCTAATATTTAGTAGGGGGTGTATTTCTATTTATCTTTAATTTATTTTTAATTCAGTTTTAGTTTTAATAATTTTAGTACTTACACTTATTTCAGTTAGCTGCAAAGGCAACATTTCAAATTTTTATTCAATGTAGTTTTTGATTTAATAATTTTTTAGTTTTAGGTAACAATAACAAAACTAATCCTGACCTCATCACCTGACCTATTTTTGATAAACTTTTGAATTATATATGAAACTTAATATTGAAGAAATACTAAAAACTAAAGTTTGAAAAGTTTGCATTGGGAAAAAAACAGTTCATAATTTCAAAATTGAACAGAGCAATAATATCATCGTATTATTAGCGTTTTTATTATTTTTAGAGCGTTTTTTTTCCTCAAATTTATTCTATAACGCTCGTTCACGTCTGAAGTATATCTAAACTGTAAGAGTTTGTTTGCCTCAAACTTGTGTGCATCTCTCAGACTGCTGTCTGTCACTTTAAAGTGAAAAAGTATGTCACTGAATCATCAGCAGGGTGAAATGAGTCTGCTAGACCGACCAAGACGCACACTCACAGACTCCTTATTTTCATCCATCCAGGCATCATGTGACACACAAACCATATCCTATGATCTCACACACCTAAACTTAAAGCAGTCGTGAGCTTCCTTGGTGTGAGGCTTTGATGAGTCTATTGTGCCGAGCGCTGGTGGCGTGAGAGACAAGGTGAAGAGGATTTGAGCTTCTGACACACATCGAGGTTTTTGTCAGTGTTCTGGGGGGGATAAAAGCCCTCTATTCATGCGCCCCTGAAATAGCTTCTATTGAGCATGTGTGCGAGGAAGCAGAGGGGGTGGTTTATAAGCGTGTGTGTGAGTGTGCAAGAGGTTTAAAAGGGTTCTAGAGAACTTATAACCACGTGACCTAGTGGGAAAAAAACCCTCCAGTGGATTTTAATGTTTAGGTGTCCTAAAAACCACCACCACCTGGGGGTCCATGGCATGAAAACATTTGAAATCCCCTGTGATATGGAATCACTTTTACTAATCCTCATATTTCAAGTTAGGGACTTTTCAAAGCTCTTAAACCTCAGTATTAAACTTTTATGCATGAGTCATCTTGCACATTTGTGCAGACATGAATGAAACCTGAAATGTGTGAAGCTAGTTGTGCTCTATTATTTTTCAAAATGAGCAGACCAATTATTTTGCCTGCTGGACCTGAAAAAATAAATTTAATTAAATTAAATAAAAAATATATAAA